ACATTCCTGGTAATATATAATTTAATCTTTTATATTTAATTTAAAAGATATGATATAATTATATTTTGTTAGGTAACAGAAGAGGATATAAAAAAATTTTATAAACCGTTTGGTGAAATTACAGAAGTAAACCTTTTAAAACGTCCAGATGGAAGCTTAGTTGGATGCGGTTTTATACGATTTAAATGTATAGAAGATGCTTCGAAAGCAATATTCAATACCAATAAAAAGGAGTTTTTTGGTATTTGCAGAATTGAGTTTGTTTTTTTTTTTTTTTTTTTTTTTTTTGAACTGTGTAATTTGATGTTATTTTGTATGAAATTATATTTTAATTTTTACAAACTGAATACGCGTTGGCCTAAAATTTTATATTTTTAAATTTGAATAGATTCACACATTGTCATCCTAAATAATAACTAGTTATACACAATAATTTTTGTTGTGGTGTATCTATATGGTGGAAACATTTTGTTTATCATGCTTTTTTCGTCCACACGTTGCAATTAACGATAAGAATATGGATAAGAAAGATAAGAGACAAAAAATGGCTCTCTCTCTCTCATCTGCATATTCTCTCTTCTAATATATTTTCATATATTATATAATAAGTCGTATATTGTATCTCTCACTTAGTTTCATATTCATGTCTCGATTATTTTATCAATTATATTTTTGTGTCAAATATTCCAGGTTCGCTGCTCTTTTCTTCATTTGTTAGTTCTCTTTTTGATTCCTTTGTTCTTTATTTTTTTCATGCATTCGATTATATGTCGATTATTAATCTTAAAATTAAATTCTATTCAAATTAAAGTTAAATAAAAAATAAAATTAAAAAATGCAATTATTATCATCACCCTTAATATTTCTAAAAAGTAATTCTTCAATATTTTTGAATTTTTGGATCACTAGCAGCCTAATAATTATTGTATGTCTAGTATTGTTAATAAGACAAAATTATATCTGAATTGATCAAAATAAAATAAAGAGATATGCCAGAAAAAAACTTTATACATGCGAATTGTCGAATGGTCCTCTAAAATACTTGAATTTTGCTCTTCGCGCGTCACTTCTTCAACGTAGTCATTAAACGGAAATATGGCGGCATCGGTGATTTGCAAACAATAGACGTTGTCACATCGATGAGGCACAACGTGGTCTACCGATTAACACAACTACTTTACCAGATATACGAACCATGAACTTTAGTCAGCGAAGACTACCAGTAGTACGCTACCAGTAGCGGCAACAGACTGACTCGGAAATAACATTAGATGCTCCCGCACAGCTGTAACTGTCTCCCTATCGGTATATGTATAGCATGACTCTTAGAACGAGCACTCATTACGCCACAGTCATACATAACGTGACTACCATGACCGCCCGCATCACGGTTTGTACAAATAAAATACCGAATAAATTTTAAAGGTGACGACGACGCGATTGTGACCCACGAGTGAAAAGGAAACTAGATGCAAGTTAGTCTCTAGAATCTATTGTTTTGACACCATTGCACAGATATCGATCGTGTCTAGCAGCTCATAAATTCCCTCATATGCAATTTAAATCATTGATTTAATTAATCGCCATGTTCAAGATCACTTCTTATACTACATTATGAATTGTTTTCATGACTTTAATTGCTGTAATTGGAATAATATAAAAAATTGAAAAGGGGCGTTACACGCTCAATATCTATATCTATTGCATGTGTATATGCTCTGCTAATTATTATGAACGTGTATCGTAGCAATAAAAATAAGAGAGAATAAAAGCGACAGAATTAATTTTATTTACTCATTTAATGCATAATGTATAAATGCAGATTATTCACACAGAACGGAATTTTGTAATAAAATATTCACAAACAAGCAACTTGATCATCTTGTATATTTATATTTGCATAACGTTACATGTTAAATAAATTTCTCATAAGATCATAGCTCTGTAAAGTTGAAAGCTTGTTTTTATTTTGTGGAAAGAAAATCTTGATATGCATATATATTTAGATTAATTGCTTTGATTGCGTTCAAAAATTAATATATCAGGGGTTAATCATTAGTTATATTTTATAATAGTAATTGATTTATTGTTAGTTGTAATCGAGGATTGCATTTTTATGAAAATTTACACAAATTTTGTTTATCGTTAATGATAGGACGGATATTTACGTCTTGCGTACATCTTGCAAATTTTTAACTATTGGTTATTCGTTACCAGTATTACGAATTTTCGTATCAAGATTACACGAAGATCTCAATGAATCACACATAAAATAAATCAAAAATTGACGATGAATTTTTATAATATCGTTGCAACAAACTAGCAATTGGCGCATCAAATATAACACATAATAGTTTAGAATAAAGATAATTGTGACAAAAAAATATGTCTATGACTACACTGTAATTTTAACGTGCGTACGCGTCCTTAATACATTTTATATTTTCCAATCCTCTTATCGATTTCAAAGAAATACGCGGCATTGACAAAAACAATCATTCGTATTACTGTTGTTGATTAATATTTTTGTCAAAGTATAATTTGAAATTACAGGCAATAAATGATAAAATTATCATGCATAGAAGCTTTGAACTATGCAAAAAAAAGAAAATGTGTTGAAAACATGCAATTTCAAAATTAATTTATCGAATAGTAATGTATATTAAAACTAATTTTTGTGGCATATATATGTCTATGTATAATTATTTACAATTTATGTACAATCTTAACAAAAATAATAATTAATTGTAAGAGCTTATTATAATATTGAATAAAGATTAATATATCCACAAAAGAAACTCGTAAACGTTCTCTCAGATAATAATGTATAATACAATATTAGAGGTTCTTAAGATATTTTATCACCGAAAGAACTAACTAAAGAGAGAAAAGAGAGAGAGAGAGAGAGAGAGAGAGAGAGAGAGAGAGCTTAAGATATTTTATCACCGAAAGAACTAACTAAAGAGAGAAAAGAGAGAGAGAGAGAGAGAGAGAGAGAGAGAGAGAGAGAGAAAGAAAGAGAAATGTTAATAATGCAAATTGTTTTTTTATTAATTTTCTCTTATTCATTATTCATATACGAGTTTATGAAAATTATATAGAAAATTATAAATCTATCTGTTCACATATGAAAAATAATATTAAATAATTTTATTTTTAAAACGTCATATATATATGACATATGCGATTCAATATTAATATTCTTTTAATATACATGGAATAACGGCATAATAAATAAGTATTTAGTACGATAAGATATAAGGATATGAGGGACAAAAAAATTAAAACGTACAGTATTATGAAAAACATACCTTTTTTGTATTTTATACATGTGCAGTATAAACTATAGTAACAATTATGCTAAACCAATACAGATACACACATTTCGATGCATCTTATTTTATAAAAGTGTATTTCATTAACAATCGATTATATATTTTCGATCATTTACTGTTTGTTTTATCTACATAAATATATATTTTATCGTAATAATTATTTCATTTGTTTGAGCGCCGTAATCCTGTTAATCGATTTTTAATTTGATCGCCGATTTTCATGAAAGATATTTAAATAAGCGACATGTTTTATAATTTACATCGAAAATATTTAACTTTGATTTTTGAGAACAAATGACAATTTTATATATATGTAGAATTGTGATGAAGTACACTTTTCCTCTCATGTCTTTAAAAATTTGATGCTTTCTATTATTTTTCCATAATTTTTAACACTATAAAAAGATCAGAGTTTATGCTTATTTAGAAAACTAGTCTAGCAACACACACATTCTCTCTTTCTGTGTTTGGAAGATAATAATAATTCAATAAATATATATAATAACGAATTAATCTAATAAATTCGTTCTCAAAAGTTAGTAGAAAATAAATGGTTATCAAAGTGATCATTTTGTTTCTTTTAGTTTCGTTAAGAAAGTTTGATTCGCACATTCCAATTTTTAAGTATCAACCGGTACAGAATAATGCAGGAAGAATTTGTTCATTGTATTTACGAGAATCATGGATTTCTACAAGAGCACATAAACGCTCGTTTTGACATAATCTATCAAGGCTGCTTTCTTCTATAAAGCGTTGATAATATCTGGTCTTTAACGTATAAAATTAATATCTGGCAAGATAAACTCGTGCGCTTATAAATCATCTCTCTCTCGGACGCATTATTTCGTCTCAGTTAATTTTAAGAACATGAGCATTTGCATTTGATTTTCTTTAACACTTTTTTCTTTTTGCATCATTAAGCTCACAGCCATTGGTGGATAGAATAGAGCGATCGCTCGTGAAATACGTCATCGATTAAGGCCTCGTATTTGTTCATGGAAGATAGACGCGATCGAGGACAATTGACAAACCCCCTCCCATTTTTTCCTTAAAAATTCTTTCCTTAAAAATCATATGCGAACTAATTCTTTTTGTTTCAGCTTTCCATCTAATCGCATCGTGCGGCGAACATTTAAATTTAGTATAATAAATCTAAGATCGACGCACGTACTCGGTTGCGTTCTAACGAGAATGTTGCTGACATAATAAAAAAATGAAGATATATGATATATATTATATATACATATGTATATACCCTGAACAAATATGTTACAATCGTAACGATTAGTCGTCATCGTTGTGTGTTATAAACTTAATTAAAAATATAAATAACTTATTATATATTCCTACAATTAAATTTAGCAACAATAAAACATGAAAAAATAAATCTTTTACTTTGTGATATTTTTGAAATTATTAATGCCTTTTCTCGATAGAGAGAATAATTATTGCCGCGAGAATTCTCGCTGAGAAATGCCACGAAAATCTTTGCATAAATTTTCTTATTTTTTGATTGTGTTGTGAGGCATTGAAACCCAAATCTTCATCGTTTTAGAGTATCTTACAATAACTCGCGCGTATTGACAATTTATCGAGCATTCTTTATCTTCCAACGAAGGAAGAAATACGCGGCGATTCGGAGCACGACGAATATGAGAAGGAGAGCGAGGATATCTAGAGTAAAATCAGCATCGAGCATGTCCAGCTCCTCCAGTGTCATTTCCGGATTTTTAAAGTGGCAATATACCTAAAAAAAACAAGCATTATTGCCTTCTGCAATTGACCGTATTTGCAATTGATGCCAACATTTCATGCTGTATCTAATCCTACCTGGAAACACTTTAGTTTCTCTCGACCGTAGCCATAAACAGTCAAAGCGGTTCCCTCGAAACCATATCTGATGTAGCTGAGATATGTGATCCATCGTAGATAGACCGGAATCGCGTCGAAACTGACGAAGAAGCCTGAGAAAAGGAGGAACGGCACCGACATTACCGGCGCCAGGAACACGCCGTTCTGCACGTTCATGGCGGCGCCGACCACGAGGCCCACCGATTGCGCGACGAAAGAAATTAGCAGACAAATACCCACGAACATGCAATATCGCGTCACATCCGCCGGTTGACTCGTCGTGAAGTACACGATACTGACGTACATTACACAAAATATAGTCTGAGAGAAATCAAAAGATATGAAAATAATCATTTATTCGCTATGGAAAAAAAACATATATATTGTTACTTGATAAAGTTTAGCGATCTTACCTGAAACGGTAAATCAGAAAGAGTAATTGCAAGATAATATGCTTTGAGAGAGTACCATCTGTTAAAGTTCTCTTTTAAAAGTACAGGCAGTTCTAGTGGAACTAAAAATAAAAATCGGTGGTTTAAATTTTTTAGAAATAACGTGAAAATTGCTATTTTTTATCGCAAAACAGATAAGCATAAATTTAGCAACTTACAGGACAGAATGGTGATTGTCATGGAGGTGTACATAAGAAATAGCATATTGAAGAACAAAAATCCGAGATTACTAAGTACTTTAGCGCCATCGTTTCCGATATCATAATATAGCGCGGTGATTAATGACGCTACCAGAAGGTGAGCGAAGAGCCGGAGGTACATAAGAGTCTACAAATGTAAAGGAATTAAAAATTAGAATATTTTAAAAAACTAAAAAATATATTATTTAAAAAAATATATTCAGTCGCGTAATATTGTATGTTAGAATCGCAAATATTATAGAATTTACGATTAGGAATATAAGCGGATAATCTCATTCTTTCCAAATACCTACCCAATCTCTACGATTGAAGAGTAAAGCACGCTTCAGAATAATGTAGAATTGTAACAATTCGGACGTAGCATATCTTTCCGGCGTTACTGCAATGGATTCGTCGAGCAAAGCCACACTGGCATTGTCTTTCTTATCCGTATCCACGGAGATTGCCATATCCATCGCTAAAATATTAATATTCCACGTGTTACTTATTATATTACGTTTTATATAGTATATTACTTTATTACGATACATCAATTTACGCGAGTAATTCTAATTCTTCGACATAAAATTTGAAAATGTAACGAATGAAATAACTAGTTGAAATGTAGATAAAATAAAAACATAATATATAGGCTCTTTACGTAACTGTGTTGATAGATCTAATTGCAATTAATTATATGAGTTGAAAAGTTATCTTCAGACAATCGAGTTGTAAATCATCATTATGTCATATTGCGGTTTGTTATAGAGACGTAAAAAAGCATTTTATACCTTGTTTAGCAATGTCATTCATAGCATAGCTCGATATGATTTTCTCATTACTAATCTCGTTCAGTTTTTGTTCCGCGAACTTCTCCTCGAGATTATTGACATCATTCCTGTCTTTGATTTTAATTTTGTCTATACTATCGCCATTCTTCAAAATTCCTGTCGAGGCAGCGCAATTGTTCATCTCTTCCTTCGTCTCGGGAAACGAATGTCCCTCGCGTATATCGTATTTGCCATTGTTTATCGCGTTTACCAAGTTCTTGATATTATCGCCATATTCACCGCATGATACCTCAATGACTGCAAAATAGATTGTAGTAGATATGCTATGACTATCACACGGAAATCACAAAGAAGATATCGAATTCGCAATAAATAAAAAATCTCAAGTTTGACTACGTATGTGTGAATTATTTTCTTCAATTTATTTTACTTTTCAATATGATAGTTATCATAAAATACTGGCGTTGAAGAATCAGTTTTTTATTTAATAAAACTTACTAAACGATGCTGGATTATGGTAGTTTGGACAATTAAGGCCAATTGTTCTTAGGAAAGGCACTAGTTGTGATGTGGAGCCTTGATAAACGCATTGACCTTCGGCTAATGTGTAGAGAGCATCGAACATCTCGAAAAGCCTTGCGCTGGGCTGATGAATGGTACAGATTATCGTTCTACCGCCTCGTGCCAGTGTCTTCAACAACGAAATGCACTGGAAACAAGACGAGGAGTCCAAGCCGCTGTAAACAACCGGATAAAATTAATCAGTATCGCTAAATTACCATGCTTAAATCTTTTCGCGTCTCTTTTTTATTCGGCTGCGCACATTTGCATAATGATAGAATAAAGAAAGTTATAAAATGGGTGTTCTGGGAAAATAAAAGAGTTTGACAATCTGCTATGCTCTTCTCTCTTTACATGATGCAATTTTCTTTGCATCATGTAAAAAGACTTTGATTAAAGAATATCAAATAGAAAAAATATCCGGTAACTGCATAAAATATTAACTGATATGTATTAATAGAGTATTGATTTTTCAACATCCGCAATGATTAACAAAAGTAAATGGCGGTGCTAAGTGATTATAACTTTTTTTTAGAGTCAAGTTCTTGATCCGGTATAGACCTTGAAAAGACCAGTCATGCCAATCATCTATAATGTCGGATCTTATCAGTATAAAAAGAAATTTATGACCCTTTTAAAACTGGTCGAACAATAAGAAAATATTCCGAGAAGATTTAATGTGATTTTAAATCAGGAAATTGATATTTTAAACTTTAAATGATAGGAGAATGGAAATTTTTTGCGTTTGGTACGTAAATAGATTGGTTTTTCTTACGCAGATAGATGAGATCATCATATATCAAAATCCTCGTGTTTGATAATCTATAGAACGAGTTATAACGTTATGATGTTTGGATACAAAAATTCTGTCGACCGTTTCAGTGAAAGTTGCCGGCGAAAAAAGAACATTTCAAAAAAACCAAGCATTTACTTTCTCTGGCTACTATATAATCTTTTGTATCTTAACTGAGATATTCGTTTAGTATTCGTATATATCAAGAGATTTAAAATATACGTCGACTATATACCAGCCGTAGTAAAAAAATAAAAGATAAATTAGTCAAAATTTATTAAATTTTATAATGGACATTACATTTTTAAGACAAAAAGTGTAATTATTTATTATTATAGTAAGTTCTGCAAGATTGATTTTACTCAGCTTTAAATCTAGAACAAGGTAGATATTTGAAAGTTGCAAGGAGGAGAAACTCAACGTACGACGCATGACATTTATCGGAACCTGAAAAGTTCGCAGTCTTGGTACAAAAAGACAAACACATCCCATTGACATTGGCCGTGCCAAGAGCCGAAGATCAAGGAAGTTATTTAAAGGCGGAGTAGTTTTTCTCTCACGTGATTTTTAGAGAAAGTAAAAGAGATTATTGCTGGATTTTCTTCGAGTTATTTAATAAATTTTTTAAAATCTAAACCGTCAAATATATTTCTAATATTGTAGATGTTTTTTTCAAATTTTTGTCTTCATTTTCATTAACAGCAAGTCAGAGAATCAAAAGTCTTATTTGTGGCAAATTAAAATTATTATAAAAAATGATATTATTTATTTATAAATAATATAATTGGAATTAACAATCGAATTATTTATGTATAACTGCAAACGTAATCATAATTATTTTGCATACTTACCTAGTTGGTTCGTCGAAAAACATTATAGGGGGGTTATTGACCAGTTCTAGAGCGATAGAAAGCCTTTTCTTCTGACCACCACTCAGATTCAAGGTCATGGTTCGACGGTGCTCAGACAAACCGAGAGTTTCAAGGATTTCTTGAATCTACAGAGGAAACAGTTTTAATTAATCGATAAAATTATATGTACGAACAGATTTTAATCGAGAATGAAAAATGGGGTATGTAAGGAAAAGACTGTCTAAACCGATTTAGAGAGAATCTGTACGTTAAATTTTTGTTTTATATAATTAAATACAATGTCGAGAAAACCGATAATTAAACATAATTAAAAAGATTTTTCAATAAGCTAATAATAATATATAGTGACGCAAGAAAGAGAGAGAAAGAGAGAAAGAGAGAAAAAATGGACAAAATAGCAATGAATTCACAATTATAACTATCCCTATAATATTTAATACCAATTAATGAAATAATTGCATTTGATTGTTATATGTTTGAAAATGTCAGATTGTCCATTTAGGCCAACTAATTTGATAAGAGGATCAGCTTACCACTTCTTCTTTCTCTGCTTTGTCGATGTGTGAGCTAAGCTTAAGACTCGCTGCAACCTTCATAGCTTCCGCTACCGTTAGATTCCCGTACAATTGATTGTCCTGCATGATGTAGCAGGAGAGTTTCCTGAAGGCACTGAGATTTCTTTCGTGGCCATTTATTGTGATGCTACCCTCCGTACCTGTCGTCCTGTGATAAAAACTTCCTAATAAATAATTCGCAACACATAAAACTTGATACGTTCGCTTGCATTAATATGTCTACTTGCATTTTCACACATTGCATCATAAAAATAAGTTGTGAGAGAGGGAAATTCATATACATGTATATTTCAAGTTTTATTCAATTATCAGAATGCATAACAAAAGATGTGTCTCTTTTAACAAGTTTATAACAAGTAATAAAAAATTTGTTAACAAAATTTAAGTCACTGATAAGTATTCCATCAACGCACTCTCCACTACAGTCATATCTTAATTCAAGTCATTAATAATTCATCAATTTTTTGATCTACCGCATAGAGAAAGAGTCAATGTCAGATCGCTCTACGTGTCGCAAGCATCTTCGGTCGTAAATGCGTGAGACTCGATAGCGCACAAACATTGCAACTGACTATGAAACCGGTTTGAAAAACACGATGGAAAAGAGACAAATAAATAGCGAAACAACTTTTACACTATAAGTACATCATGGGTTTCTTGTAGGTGTTAAAACTTACAGGCTGCAAATATCGCAAAAAAATCAAAAAGCTGATCGACCTTGAGCCATGATTTATGAATTCAGAGAAACAGAAAGCGACTCCCATTATTAGCCGCATATTTGTATTCCGCTAACATTATAATTGTCCCCGTATTGTACATATCATTTTTTAAATATTTAAATAATATATACATAGAATATTCATTTTAACAGACTGTGACATGAAAACTTGACTGTTGCAAAGGAAAATTTACAAGATGATGTATTTTTATTGTAGAGATTGATTTTTTTACATCATAGTTGACTACGCCAATAAAAAGCAATCAAGCAATGTCGTTATACTGGACAATTAATGATTGAATATTTGTGTGTGTTAGCTTATATAAAATGCAACTATATTCAAAACCGGTTCGAATCGTATGATTTGAATGCATTTCTCAACAAAGTATTCATTGCAACGTTTACACGCTGTTATACGTACAATTTAAAGGTAAAAGTATAAAGCAAGAAGAAATCGTTGATTTCTTGTTGACAGTCGACCTTACAATCGCTACACAAAATGGAGCGCAGGCAAGAACGCGCCTTGACACCGCAATTGGCCTCTTCGATTTATACGTAAATGAGAAGGCAATTTTAACAATGCAGAGAATATAAAGTAGGAAACCTCTGATTAGGCAACATCTACCGAACTGATTAGTAGCTTCGAAAAATAATTATTTGTTGGACGAGCAAGTTAATGATTCATTGCTTTATTAAGATAGATATGCTGAGAATTATTTACGACTATACGATTATAATATATAAAAACAAGACATATAGCGGTTATATATATATA